TTAACAACTCTGGCAACTTTGGTGTTGTTAAAAAACAAAATTCCTCCACATAAACTGAAAGATCAAATTGGGCTTATTCAATAATTCATGAATTGAGCATCATCCCATCCAGCAGATAGAAAGGAGCTCTTTTGAGCTGCAGAAAAGGTTTTTAAAGGCAGAGAGGGAACAGGAAAAAGGAAATTATTAGCAAAGAATGCATTGTTTCAGGCAAGGTCACCCTGGTAAAGGGAACAGAGAGGATCTCTCAGTGGGTTACCTCCTCATGCTGGCTACCTCCTTGTGCTGACCAGGAAACTCCAGGTTGGCTGGTTAAAGGTCGCATTCCGCAGGGGGTTGAAACTGCAGTTAGGTTAAGTATTGAGTCTTCATTTGCTGACATGGACCTTAACATAAAGTGACTCAATCTTGGGCCTGTGATTTTCTTTTTAGCAGTGTGATGAGAAATGTCAGTGTCACATTGATTGACAAACTACTCCTACTCTGTGGCCTAAAAAGAAAACCATTTTTTTTTTTTTTTTAAGTAGGCTCCATGCTCAGCATGGAGTCCAAGGCTGGGCTTGAACCCACGACCCTGAGATCAAGATCTGAGCTGAAATCAAGAGTTGGATGCTTAACCAACTGAGCCACCCAGGCACCTGTAATATATGTGTCATATATATACAGACATATGAAAATAAATGCACGCAGTAGTGTTCTTTTTCTTCCCTTCAGAACAGTGCTTCACTGTAACCAAGGAATTATCCTAGTTATTTAAACAACCATTTTTATTTGCCTATTAAAATTTTCACAGGATCAGGACTTCAAAGATAAGATAAAGAAACTGCACACCCGTCTGTTGTTTTACACATTTTAAAGCACTTTCAAATAAATTTTTGATTCCAATTTGATCCTTCAGGTCACCTGTGATTTAGGCAGAGTGAATGTAACTGCTCTTGGATCATGAAACTGATATTTCTGTGGATGAGATGACCTGTTCCAAGACCTGCCTTGGGGTTAGAAACCAGATTTTTAAGCATTTAGCTCAGGTTTGGTCCCAGGTGCCTCCTTAGAGATTTCCAGGATTTTTTTAGCCTCCTGAGAAGGGATTGCTGTTAGATGATAGGAGTCCAAATGTCCATAAATCTAGGATCATTTCACTTCAGATAGTCATACTGACACACACCCTACACCAATTTTTGGAAGTTTTGTCTATGTCAGTTTCATTTTACTTTTTGGTAAACTGAGGATCTAAGTTCTTATTCTGAGAGGAATATTGTGCCGTGACCCGGATGACTAAAGGTTCTCGTGGCCCGGTGTGTGTCCTCTGCATAAGCTGCACGGCACGACCAGTCAGCAGGCCGGGAGAGCGAGTGCATGGCCCCTGGGGAAGCTGCGACTTGGGTCTGAGAGGATGCAAGATTTTCAGAAATGTTGGAAGGACAGTTGGGCTGGAGGTGATGGAACCGCCCTACTGGGGTGGAGTTTCAGTTAGATTGCCAGGTGAGGCAGGGTACACCAGAGAAGGGTGCCCTACACTAAGGGGACACCCAGGCTGGATCTTGGTGCTCTGCTGAGCAGGTCCTACGTGTGGGAGACAAAGAATGGGATAGCTAGGAAGTGATGACCCACTTCAGAGGGAAACCCCCTGACTCTGGTCCCCTTCCTGGTCTGGGTCTGGCAGCCCTACTGGTATTTTATTTGACCAGCTGTGTATTTAAAATGTTTCTGAATTATGATGTCTTTAGAAAGGGCCTTGACTCCTTAGTTTACTCTAGGTTCAAGCACTGCTTATTGCCTCATTTTTAACAACTTTATTGAGAAACACAGTTGACCCTTGAACAACATGGGTTTGAACTGAGTGGATCCACCTATACGTAGATTTTTGGATAAATATAGTACAGTACCATGATTCTTTTCCTTATGATTTTCTGAACATTTTCTTTTCTCTAGCTTTATTGTAAGAATACAATATATAATACATATACCATACAAAACATGTGTTAATCTATTATTAGTAAGCCTTCCATCAACAATAGGCTATCGGTTAAGATTTGGAGGCATCAAAAGTTATACGTGGATTTTAGACTGCATGGGGGGTTCGGCACCCCATTCCCCCGCATTGTTCAAAGGTCAATTGTAATCGACATGCAATAAAATGTACTGTTTTAAAGTGTAGAATTCAGTGGTTTTTATTACGAGGTTGTGCGTGGATCACCACTGTCTGATTGCAGAACATTTTCATCACCTGAGAAAGAAACCTTGTACCCATTAGCAGTCACTCCCCATTCCCCCTCTGCCATTCCCAGCCCCTGGCAACCACTGATCTTTTTTTCTATGGATGTGCCTATTTTGGACATCTTCTGTACATGGGATCATACAACTTGTGGCCTTTTGTGTCTGGTTTCTTTCCCTTGGCATAATGTATTTTCAATATTTGCTCTTACTGCTGCATAATCTTCCATACTATGGATACGCTTCATTTCATGGATTCGTCTATAAATTGGTGGACATTTGTCTTGTTTCTGCTTTCTACCTATTATAAATAATGCTGATATGAGCATTTGTGTGTAAGTTTTTGTGTGGACATATGTTTTCTGTTTTCTTGGGTATATTCCTACAAGTAGGATTACTGGGTTGTATGTTTAACTTTTTGAAGAGCTACCAAACTATTTTTACAGTGGCTGCAGCATTTTATAATCCTACCAGCAATGAATCAGGGTCCCAATTGCTCCACATCCTGGAAGACACTTGTTGTCTTTTTTATTTTGCCATCCTAAGGGGGATGAAACGGTTATTCATTGTGGTTTTCATTTGCATTTCCTAATGTCCCTTGATGTTGGGAATTTTTTCATGTGTTTATTGGTCATTTGTATAGCTTCCTTAGAGAAAAGTTTATTCAAATCCTTTCCCATCTTTAATTGGGTATTATTTTAATTGTTGAGTTTCTGAGTGATTTATATGTTTTGGATGCAAGTCTCTTAAATGATTTGCAAATATTTTCTCCAGTGGGTTGACATTTATTTTTTTGACGGTGCTCTCTGGAGCACAAATTTTAAAGTCCATCTTACCTATGTTTTCTTCTGTTTCTTGTGGTTTTGACATCATACAAATCATTGCCTAATCCAAGGTGATAAATATTTATACCTATGTTTTATTTGTAAGAGTTTTTTTAGTTTTCACTCTGACATTTAGGTTGTTGATCCGTTTTGAGTTAATTTTTGTTAAATGTAAAGAAGGGGTCCACCTTTATCCTTCTGCATGTGGTTATCCAGTTGTCCAACACTGTTTGTTGAAAAGACTATTCTTTCCCCATTGAATGGTCTTGGCACCCTTGTTGAAAATCAATTGACCTTAGATGTATGAGTTTATTTCTGAACTGTCCAATCTCCACTGATCTTTACGTCTCTTTTTATGCCAGTACTATCCTATCTTGATTCACCATAATCTTGTAGTAAATTTTGAAACCAGGACGTTTGAGTCCTCCAACTTTGTTCTTTTTCAAGCTTGTTTGGCTGCTCTGGGCCCCTCGCATTTTCATATGAATTTTAGGATCAGCTTCAGTTTCTGCAAAAAAGGCACCTGGGATTTTGAAAGGTATTGTGTTGACTCTGTCAGCCAGTTTAGGGAGTGTTGCCAGTTTAAAATTATTTGTTTCAATCCATGAACATGCTCTGTCTTTTTATTTATTTAGATCTTCTTTAATTTCTTTCAACAACATTTTGTGGTTTTCAGTATAAAAGTCTTGCACTTTTTTTTGCTATACTTATTCCTAATTATTTTATCCTTTTTGGGAGTAGGATGGGAACAGGGCAAGTTAAAACACCACAAAGCTTACTGTTCTCACAGAGACTAAGTCATTTTTATTGAATAAATGCTCTTCCAATTGTTGTAAGCCTTTGGTTAATTTTCAGAGTTTTGAAACAGTTGATTTCAACAATTTTTGCCCAGTGTTCTCGTTTCTTTTATGGAGGAGTGGATTTTTAGAAATCTTTTCTCTGATGTGCCAGAAATCAGAACTGCCTATTGTTTATACCACTGTCTTTCTTAGACCATCTGCCTGGTCTCTGAGGATATTTGAGCTATAGAAGCAAGTGACTGGCAAATAAAGAGGTATGATACAGAAATTCATTGGGCCACAGGGCATCTTGGTGGATGTTATATATCAACAGGTATACTGGACCAAAATTCTCATCACTGAGGTCCCAGGGAGAGTGGTAAAACTGAGGTATTACAAGCTGTTCCTCAGTGACTTAGAAGTGAGAGAGCAATGAAGTGTCTGATAATAAGGAACATTTTTCATGTTTCTTGGTGGAAGCTCAAACCAGGAGGAATATTGTTGAATCTCAAATCTAGGAATGACAAATGCATTTCAAGTGTCAACTTGAATCAATTCATAATAATAATCTGGAGCTCAGTGTTAAGAAAATTCTGTGATCACATGTGGCCTTAGTGCCAATCACTGTATTGATCAAGTCTAGCCAGGAAATAGCGGCCAGTCAAATCGGGTGAGTGAGGAGAATTTAATAAAAGGATTATTTAGGAAGCTGTGGGCAGAGTTAAAGGAAGTCTATGAGGGAGTGGTGCTGGATATAGGACAGAGATTGGGATTCCCACTTACAGGCCTAAAGGACCTTTAATAGGACTGATTGAAGAAATGAGAGTTTTAGTGATTGATCTAGAGTTCTTCTTTTGGCCATTTTTTAGTACCATCTGTGAGATTACTTGTAGTAAAATCAATACTTTGTCCTTCAAAATTTCAGGAGTTCGGGACACCTGGGTGGCTCAGTCGTTAAGCATCTGCCTTCAGCTCAGGTCATGATCCCAGGGTCCTGGGATCAAGCCCCACATCGGGCTCCCTGCTCGGCAGGAAGCCTGCTTCTCCCTTTCCCACTTCCCCTGCTTGTGTCCCTCTCTCGCTGTCTCTCTCTCTGTCGAATAAAGAAAAATCTTTAAAAAAAAAAAATTTCAGAAGTTCTTAACTAAAAATGCTTTGGAACATTTTTAGAGCAAAACAAATACAATTTATTATCAACTTTTATCAAATATTTCAACTTTAATATGGTGAGAGATTCCACATTACCAAGGGTTTTCACTGTAGATGTCATCATCTTACTTAATTTTCACAAATAAATCTGTATTGCAAGGTTTGAGAATCCCCAAGTGCAGCCTGACTTCTGACATCAAATCTGGGGGTTGTCACGACCACCCTCACATTTGTTAATTTGCTAGAAGGACCAAACTCATTAAAAGCTCTTATACTCACAGTTGTGGTTTATTACAATGAAAGGATACACATTGAAATCAGTGGAGAAAAGAGGCACATGGGGCAGAGTCCAGGAGAATTCCAAGCATGAACTTCCATTTGTCTTCTCTCAGTGAAGTTGTGAGCAGTGCTAACTTCTCTCAGTAACGTGTGATGAAACACATGGAATATTACCAACTAGGATGCCTTGCTGAGTTTTGGCGTCCAGAGTGTTTAATTGAGCTTGGTCCTATAGTCATGGTTGACTGCCAACCTGGCTGACCTTAATCTCCAGCCCCTCCAGAGGTCAAACTAATACTATGTGGCCCAAGACCTCTCCCCCCACCAAAAATTGCATTGTCAGCATAGACTTTCTGGCATGGCCCAGGGTCCCCAGATAAACAAAGACACTCTTATCAAGCAGGACATTCCAATGTCTTAGAAGTTGCCTCACAGAAGTCAAGGGCAAAAGCCAGACCTCTCTTTGGGCAAGGTTAATCCTTCAATACACAAGCATGTACTACGGTTATAAAAGCCTAATATAAAAACAGGATGGAGGAAACCCTGCAGGTAGGCAGACATCTGATAGGGATTTTCCTTTTGTCCCATAGCTCAGTGATATTTTTTAGTGTATATAAGAATTACTGTATACAAAATTTTGTATACTGGACATCATGGACTATATAGGGGACTTTCAAGGGAATCTTTACTTTATAGGCTGACGCTTAAAAATACCTTCTCAAGGGGCGCCTGGGTGGCTCAGTCGTTAAGCATCTGCCTTCGGCTCAGGTCGAGCCCCGCGTTGGGCTCCCTGCTCCTTGAGAAGCCTGCTTCTCCATCTCCCACTCCCCCTGCTTGTGTTCCCTCTCTCACTGTGTCTCTCTCTGTCAAATTTTAAAAAAAAAGATTAAAAAAAATACCTTCTCAATATTCTCAACTCCTTCCACAGTGAAACACACAGACTCATAAAACAACAAAAGCAAAGGAGTGCCTGAGTGGCTCAGTTGGTTAAGTCTTTGCCTTTGGCTCAGGTCATGATCCCTGGGTCCTGGGATCGAGTCCCGCATAGGGCTCCCTGCTCATTGGGGAGCCTGCTTCCTGTCCTCCCTGTTTGTGCTCTCTGTCTCTCTCTCTCAAATAAGTAAATAAAATCTTAACAACAACAACAAAAAAGCAAAGCAAGAAATAATAATAGCACCCTAAAAAATTAAATTGTTTTTACAGAGAACTTAATCTGGAAATTCGGTTTCTTTTACTGCCACAATTAAGATTCTAGCCATGGAAATTGTGCTAGGTCATACATTTTTTTCAAATCATTTGCCTATGATTGTGAAGCAAATTGCTGGGAACTCTGGGGACCATTTTTGGGGTATCTCTTTCTGATGCAAGGTAGACTAGAGAGTGGGAAAATTGTGTGAGACCTATAAAATTACTTAAAAGTAAAACCTTTGGCTTTCTTAATCTACAGCATATAAAGTTTACAGAGTAATTTGAAGAAAATTTTATAATAGTTATTATTACAAGTAAAAAGTAACATATATTCTCTATTTCTCACAAAATTCACTCCTTCAGAAGTGTTCTGTGTGGTTACCCATCTTTGATTTTGGTGGGCATGTAACAGCACTGGGCTCTGCCTTCTGGGCTGAAATACTGTAGATCACCTTGATATAATTTATCAACAAAAAGCATTTTCTCCATAAACCTTAATAAGTTAGCAGTGAGTTTCTGTGGTGGAAAGGGTTTTTTTTCTCCTTTGTTACATTTTGATTTATAGCATGGCCTTCAAAGGAGCCGTGTTTGAGGAGCAGTGTTTGAGGAAAATAGCGATTCTCACTAATGGTTACATGCAGCCTGTCCTCACAGAATGAATACAAATAACAAAATATACTAATACCAATAAATATTTTTTGGTATGACACACCAGTAATTAACTTTGCAAATTTGCTTTAAAAAAACACAAAAAACAAAAAGCCTTTGTTGCACAATAGATCAATGGTTGCCAGACTATGATTTCACAGACTAGGAAAATTACCAAAATTTTGGGGGGAATTGACATAGAGTAGCCAAATATTTTCTTTTGCCAAATAAAGACACTACAAGAGGAAAAAGTCCCCTAGAATCTAATATCGGAATTATTTCATGAAATAACATTTTTGTAGTCAATACATAAATTGATCCATAGGATTCGCTGATTTAGTTTTCTTGTTTTTCTGCTTACATCCTACTTGTTCTGTCCAGGTTCCATACCAGTCTTTTGCATGTGATCCTCACACGGGGGCCCTGCTAATCTTCTCTGTATTGTTCCAGTTTTAGCAAATATGCTGCCAAAGCGAGCACCATACTAATATTTTAAATGATTTCAGTAGTGATCTCATTGAAGATCTGTGAGTAAAAAACTCTATTCTGTGAGTGATTAAAACCACAGAATCTGAAACAGGATGCCTGGGCCTGAATCCCAATTTGGCCACTTACCAGCTGTGTAACCTTGGTCAAGTTACTTAACCTCCTTGTATCTCAGTTACATCATCCTTAATATACTAATATTAATAGTATCTACCTCAGAGGCTTGTTGTGCAGATTACGAGTGAAAATATATAAAGCACTTAGAACCGTGCCTTATAAAGTTGTATTATATATGTACTTGCTATTATTGCTAAAATGTGTATGTCTGGCAATGTCCATATTTTGTCCTCATTCTTGACTTATAGTTTAGCTAAGCATGGAATTCTATGTTGAGCATTACTGCCTTTCAACATTTTCAAGGTATTATTCCATTTTCTTCTTGTATCTCTCATTCTGGCTGAGAAGTTTGTCTTTCCTTATGGGCAACAATCTCTTTTCTCTCTGATTTGCTTTTAAAGTTTTTCTCTGTACATTTGATGTTCTGTGGTTTTATTATTCTGTGTCCATGTGTGGATTTAATTTCATTTTTTCTAGCTCAAAATTCATTTCGCTCCCTTAAATCGAAGACTCCCATCTTTAATTGTAGAAAATTCTCAATCAGAAGTTACAATTAGATTCTGCTGCAAGTGGTTTTAAAAACAACTCTAAATCAAAGTGGTTCCTACAAGATAGAAGTTTATTTCTTTTTCACATAGATGAGGCTCTCCAGGTGGTGTTTGATGGTGTCAGGGGCTCAGGGACCCTTTTATTTTATTGTTCCACCATTCATTCTCAGCAAGTAGATTCTCTAATCAAACTTAAATCATACCATCTGCATTTGAGCTACTAGGAAAGAAAAAGTAGAGAGAAAAATCCTACTTCTTTAAGGACATTTCTGGAAGTTGTACATGCTGTTTTGGTTACATTCTAGAACATAGTCATATAGCCAATCCAGGTATAAGGTAAACTGGGAAATATTGTCTTTATTCTGGGCAGCCTGGTTCTTAGCTAAAAATGGGTGATTCTGTGAAAAGGGCAGAGGGGGAGACTGGTTATTGGGAACAGGTAGCAGTCTCTATCATAGCCATTTTTATTGCAGATTTCTCTCATATTCCCTCTATTGTGTCCTTCTGGAACACTTAGTAATGTTCTATTTTCTCTGTGCCTCTTTCTTTTTAATATTTCTTTTTTATCTTTTTGTGTTTCATTCTGTGAGATTTCAACTTTGCCTTCCAACTTTCTTTTAAGCTATGTTTAGTCTACAAAGTTTTAAAATTTTTTTTAATCTACTAAATTTTGAAAAAATGATATATTTTTTATCTTTGGAATTTCTATAGCTTATTTCCCCCCCTGAAATATGCCTCTTATTTTTTATGCTGTTCTGGTTTTTCTGTATAGCTTTTATTCTTTTATGTCCAGAATCATTTAAGCTTACTTACTTTATAGTCTCTTTGCTCTGTTGTCTGTAAATCTTAGGGTATGAATTCTGCTAACTCCCTCCGCTGGAAGATAGGTATTTTCCATCTCATCTTTAGGTATTTCTTTCCACGGTGTCTCATGTCCCCAGGATTGTAGAGTGTGACTATGGGGCAGTAGTGTATTTGTCTTTTGTCTATACCAGGGTCCTTTGGGTTTCTCTGATTCTTCTGGATCTTTGATTCTCAGGGTTTTTTGGTTTGCGTTTTCTGTGCTACTTCTCAGGAATACACCTGTGGCTCCTACTTTGTGCACAGCTTAGTTTGGGAAGTGTGTTGTCTGGGAGGTAATCAGTTTGCTTCACCCCCTAATTCTCAGGCTAATGGGAGAGAGATTCTAGAATCCTTTTCACAACAGCTGAGCTTCAGCTCCATTGCACGTGGGGCCTCAACTCCCATTGTAGCTCCTAAGCTCAACTTCTGATTCCACTTCTGCAGTTGCCTAGTTAACCTTACCTCTTGATCACTACTTTTTAGTGTTCTCTTTTTTTCTGGCACCTGAGGATTTTGCTTTCTTGTTTTAGTGCTTAGTTGTGTATTTTGAATGTTTTTGTTTATCGAGCCTTTGTTGGTGTAGGTATGATAGGTGCTTCCCACATCAACTTAGTCCATCATAGTGATAAGAAGTCTAACAGAGAGCATTTTGAATCCCAAAAAGCAGTAAAGTGACAATCTCTTAATAAAAGTTTTGAAATTGCTTTTATACTCCTTAACCTTGTTTTTTTGTTTGCAATGGGCCAGCATTGTCCTGTGCATTGACATTTGAGAATGAATGGACAGAGCACTGAGAAACTTAGGTTCTGTCCCTGGTTTTGTTGCTTGCTAACTGCCAACTTGGGGAAATTATTTAAGTTCTCTGAGTCTATTAATTAGCTGGAAGACTGACATACATAGTATTATTTTCCCTGCTCCATAGGATTATTGTAAAGATCCAATGAGATAATAGATTGGAAACTGCTTTAAACCTTAAAACACACAAAGATTTATGGTATTAATAGCAACGTTAAGGACTAAAAACCATTAGCTCATTCATTAAGGTATTTTTTAAAATATTAAATTTTATGAAGGACTTTTTTTTTCCCCTTTGTTAAGCAGAAAACAATCCTCATCCTGGTAAAAGCTATAATTCTAAGAAAATACTAATAAAGGGACAACTTGAAAATATTCAAATATTCTTGTGAAATTTAAGAGCACTATTTGTACCAATAGGCAGTTATAACTTTAATAGACTATGGAATTCATTGTGGAGAGACACACCCTTAGCAGTTAAAAAAACCAGATAATTGAACCTGGAAATCATCACTGCATTTTGTTATTATGTGTTTTCTCAAACAATGGATACTAAAAGTTTAATTACACTTTGTAAGGAACAATAAACTTTTTTTAAATGCAGAAAACATGTCCTTATACTTGGAAATGTTGAGAACCACCAATCTAGCCTATGGTAGTAGTCCACTAACTGGGCTGTTTGGCCCCAGACCCTCCATCTCTCACTAAAACACATTCCCTAAGACAGAAGGACTATGACAATTCTTACCTAATGCCTGCCAGTCAATTGTGAGGTCTATTGCAGAAAATCTGTGATTTACTAATGGCCACAGTACTAAGTTTGCAAATGATTTACTTAAAAGAAAATTAGAGAATGATTCACGATGGCAGACTGGTCATACACATCTACCACTTACTGCCCACTAAATCTCACAAAAATACATGTAAATAGATAATAATAAAATATAGTTTAATAGCATTGGAAACCAGGGAAACCTACTATCAGAAGAAATAGATTTTTATTAAGTTCTAAAAGATATTACCAGAGAACAAATGTTTGGAGGAACAAAACTAAATGAAAGAAAAACCGAGGGGTGCCTGGGTGACTCAATTCTTGGTCTCTGGTTGTGGTCTCAGGATGTTGTGGGACCAAGCCCTGCATGGGGTTCTGTGCTCAGTGTGGAGTCTGCTTGTGATTCTCTCATTTTTCCTCTCCCTTCCCCTCTGTTCCTCCCCCAACACATACACACTCTCTCTCTAAAGTAGATAGATGAAATCTTAAAAAAACAAAAAAAACCAACGCATGTCTAGAGATGACTGCTGTAGAGGGAGGTTGGATAGAACTACGAGCTTAGAGCTAATGGATATTTTATTTTTTTTTATTTTTTAGAGCTAATGGATATTAAGAAGTGGAAGGGGGTCTGGGGCATTTATCAATTTGAAAAATTAGGAAACTGCACGTGGAGCAGCAAATTAGTAACCCCTCCCTGTTCTGCATGTGCTAAGTGCTGGGCAGCTGTGGATGAATTGACTCATACACTAGGGCTAGAAAAACAGGCCAGTGCTCAAGTAGCTACTGACCTCCATGAACGTCAAAAATCCCATCACACAAATCATCTTCAGATCATGTCTGACTCATATCCTAACCCTGTCCCAAAGTCAGGTGCAGCAGACAGAAACAGTTTACACTGATAGGGATCTGAAAATCACATAATCAGAGAAGAGTATACAACCAAGAATCACCACACATTTGAGGGAAAAAAGTATAATACCAAGAAATTGAGGCATCATGCTCAACAAACAAAAATTAACAATTAAGATGTTAAGCTTTATTATGTTCTAAGAGTGATAAGAGAAACTATCATATCCATAATATAGGAAGAGTCTTATGTATTAAGGAAGCATTTATAGATCTTAGAAATTAAAAAATAAAATACTAATTAAAAAATGTTTTCCATAGATGGCCTGGTATAACAATTGACATGGCTGAAAAGCAAATTAGTAGAAAATTGGTGTCAAGGGATTCTTGCATTACTTAATGGTAAAGTACCATGAAAAAGATCATGAGAGAAAAGTTAGGACATATAGAAGATAAATCTGAGTGTTCCATCATTCAGCTGGTAGCTGTTCCAGAAGGAGGGAAGAGAGAGAATGGAGGGGATGGAAATAATAGAAAGGCTACAGAGTAAAATTTTCCAGAATGAAAGAAAGGCAAGTACCTTCAAGTTGAAAGTATTTAAATTCTACTACCTCTAATTCTGAGGTTTAACCATTCTCTTTGTTATACTGCAGACTCCTACTCGGTTTGGTTTTCTTTTTTGTGATCTGTAATTTTTGTTTGTGACCTTACCTTTAGCAGGGACTGTTTCTTCTGTGGATTGTGGAAATCTCTCTCTAGGGGAGTTTTGCATTTGCATTTCACCAGCAGGACTAATTTTTATGTTAATTTTCTGTCCTATAAGATGTTCTGCATGTAAATTCATATTCCAAACTGGAATGTGGCACAAGCTTGAGGTTTTACTTTCTTACAAATATTTTAACCACTATATATAGCTGTAGGAAGAGGCAAACTTTTTTGCTGTCTGCCTGGTTATACAAGTGAAGTTCTTCTAGTCTGCCTTGTACCAAGATAGGCCAACTATTTGAGGGTTCTAGCTTTATGCAGGTTTCAATCTTAACTCTATTTTGGAGGCCATAAGATTCCATCAAGGGGTGCCTGGGTGTCTCAGTCAGTTGAACAGCTGCCTTCGGCTCAGGTCATGATCTTAGGGTCCTGGGATTGAGCCCCGCATCAGGCTCCCTGCTTAGCGGGGAACCTGCTTCTCCTTCTCCTGCTCCCCCTGCTTGTGCTCTCTCTATTAAATAAATAAAAATCTTTAAAAAACTTCAAGTCCTTAGCCTTTAAGACCTCTTTCCATATTTGCTATCAAACTTCCCCCCACCCTTTCCCACACATACACTGAAGCTTGCATTCTTTGTGCTTCAATTCTATAGTATATCTATACTAAGGAAGACTATGCAGCTCTTAAAATAACGAGGTACTCTACACAAAAGATCTTTAAGGTGTATATTGATAGACAAATAAGCAAGTTCTTATTTGAGGGTTTCTCTGTTTTGTGACCTTGGCTATATATTTATTTGTTGTTTTATTTTATTCAGCATTTCAAGGTGTGTGTAATGAAAGGGGCTCACTATTACCCTTAATCTGCTGTAAGAACTGAAAGTCCCCAATACACAAATTTATAATAATGACATTCATTCATTTGCAGTCTATTAAAATTTCTTTAGTGGAAAAAAAGGGATAAAGATACACCTATTGTCTTATCAACACTACAGATAATAGTGTGCGACTGATATATTGCCATGGAAATTTGCTGAGCATATAAATACTCTTTTGGCAGCAGAGAGATATTCCACCTACTCCACTTGTGTGCAACAGAACACAGCCTCTGATACATACATTTTGGCACACCAAATGTGCCAAATAGAAGAGCTGGTAGAATTAACCACGCCAAACTCTTGTAAAAAGCAAAGATGGAGTTAGTGCTAGAAGTGATCTAAGTAAAATAGAAAACAACTTAGGAAATATTTTTATATTCTAGGTATCCATATGTCCTTGAATTAAGAGTATGTGTGTGTGTGCGTGCGTGCGTGCACATTTGTGTAACTAGTACCAGGAGAAATGTTTCCAGATTTTTCACACTCTTAATTGTATACAGAGGGACTAAAAGTTTTAGAATAAGGAGGAAAATTTAAGGTTATAGGAGAACATTATCTTTAAATTTAATTATAGTAATAGTGATAATGTAATCACATTGGTTACTTAACTGATCAATGTATATAATCTCATGCTCATTAACCTTGGGAAATCGCTATTATCCTGATTTTACAGATGAGGAAACTGAAGTCTAGAAAGGTTAAGTAATTTACCCAAGGTCACACAGCTCATAGATGTAGAGGCAAAATTCCAACCCTGCTTTGATTCCAGAGAATGACTATCCCATAGAGCCTCTCATAAAAGTTTTATATTTGTTAATTATGTTCATTTTTGTGAAAAACAAAATTGTTTGGTTATAAATAATATGACTTAGAAATATGTCTCATTATCCACCACTCATTAGAGACCACTCTTAAATTTTTGGTAAATTTTAATTGTCTTTTTTCATTTTCCCATTTATGTAAATTGAATTTTTTGAGGTTATTGATAACAGAAAAAGCAACTGTGATGGTTTGTGGGATTCTGCAATTTCTCTCCATTCCAAGGATTAGATTTTTATCTGAAGAAGGTAATTTATCCTGACTTATCCTGACTTTTTATTGGTGGATTGAAACGATCATGCCTGGGGAGAAGAACGTTTACTGCAGTTACTTGGAAGATGTCTGCGACCTTCTCCCTTTTCTCAGGACTTCGGGGGCATGCCTTGGCTGCCTCTCTGACATCTGTTTCTGATAAGGGAGTTTCAGTCTCTGACAGCTCTGGGGAATTTTGTCGGCAGAGACCTGGTGAGATCATTTTGCTTTCCGCTGAGTTTCCTTTCTCTGTTTTTTTGGACACTTCTGATGAGCATGACCCCGGAGCATTCCGTAATACCTCTGTTCCCGTAGGAACTATTGGCCTACTCCCTGGTTTTATCTCTGTCTGCACAAAAGCTCCATGTCGCTGGAAAGGAAAACAAAGTTGACATTAACCAGGGCACACAAGTTGCTGGAAGATGCAGCTGTGAACTCAGTTCATGTGTTAGCTCAAGTTCTGGTGAGGCAGGCCCTTATTTCTGCCTCTGCATTGGTTGTCACCTTAGTCTAAAACTGAAGACAGTGGCATAATAATTATTAGTGAAACTTTTAAATCAATGATAAAAACAGGGTGTGCCAGAAAAATAAAAGGGAAAGGCAGAAAGCCAAAGAGTCAGCATCTTGTTTCCCCTTCTCAACATTTCTATCAGTTGGCTTGTATAAGACTACACATATCAAATTTCATTTCTTGCTCTATAGTTTGCTGTGGATACAATAACAACTACAGTTCATAGACCTCAGGATTTGTGATTGCATCCCAAATATCAGTTAGTTTCAATGAAAGACTTAAAGTGAAATATGAAAACAAACATCTGCAGTTGGAAAAAAAATCCAGCATGTATTATAATATGTAATAACATTTACATTTGGCTTTGTAAATCTTAGATGCATTCTCCTGCCTCACCGACATGAGCATATCCAACAGTTTATCAAACTGCTTTACCTTAAGTGAATGATTGTAATAATTGAAACCAAACTCCAAAGACTGTGATCCAAAATTATGACATCATTCCTTAATTTTAACTATGACATGTTGTTGAGATTTTACCCCCCTAACAACCACGTTAGTTTGTTGAAATAGACTTTTAGAAAATGGTTATGACTCGGAAAGGCTTAATGTTCTAACATAAATCTGTCCCATCCTAAAGTATTAAATAATTGATTCTGAATACTCTCACCTTTCCCCGGATGGGCTCATTGGGATTTTTCCTAGCATCATATTGATGTAAAAAAGAGATGTGCTGTATAAAATTCTTTTGAAGTTCTGATGCATCAGGAGAGGCAAGTGGAACTGAGAACAAAGATTTTGTGAAGTCAGGACAAAAATAAGATTTGTATATGGAAATATAATCAATATTCATAATCATGCTTTTTAAAAAATGTTAATAAAACTTAATTTTTTAAAGTATGGATAAATATAATGGATACATCATTCTTTCTCCATGAAAAGAACCAAATCCAAACAACTGAATTAGCCTCATATATGGAATTACTGGTACTTTCTAAAACTAATATTAATGCAATAATGGCTTTAAAAGTCTGTTAGATATGTCTTTTGCATATATACCAAACAAAATTTTAGAAAAGGTGTAAGTACAATTCATTTGTCAACTCATTTTTTACTACTAGAAAGGCTATGTGAACTTTATGCATACGTTGCTCCCAACTAGCACTAACAGAATGAGCTGAAAGACTCCAGGGTTGCTGTAGTTAACAGTTGAACATGTGATTCTTTTCATTTCCCATTGACAGACGTTCTGAAAATTTATAAGACTGTTAAACCCTTTTAAAATCACTTTTAAATAATTTTTCAAGCTAGGTGATGGGTATATAGGGATTCATTCTATTGGTCTCTCTCTGTTTCACATTTTTAATAACTTTTAAAACTCACTTTATTTTTACGTTTAGCATGCAAGGTTATATAAAGATCAGAGCAACTCCCAGTTTAGTGAGGTAAAATTATGGCAAGGAAAAAATTTAAAATTTCTCCCTTTTATAAAAAGTCATATATAAGAGGTTATGTCCACCTACCATATCTCTGGAGCAATATTCAAGAAATTGATAAAATGACTGCTGCAGGGGGAAAGAATTAGGTCATGGAGGACAGAGGTGGGTTCACTTTCACTGTGTATTCTTTTGTGCCATTTGAATTTTGCACTATATGCTTGTGTTAACTATGAAGAAATGAAATTTAATTTTTAAAAAATCTTGACTTTAAAGTTAGGGAGAATATATAAGAAGGAGAAATATGTTAGTAAATTCATACTTATTAAGCATTCATGAATTCAATTCAATATTCAGACATTGATATAAACTAATTTTGCTAGCAGGAATGATGAGTCTTTAAGTATTTATATATTATATGACTTGAAATGGCAATCTTTTCCCTGTTAGCAGGGAAAAAAATGTTAACTGATAACATTTTCTTGATTTCTAATTGAGATCAGTTACTCAAAACTCATTTTCTACATAATCATTACTTTTTTTTTTTTTTTTTTTAGGATTTGCTAGTGTACAAAAGAACAGCAGGTGCCAAAGATTTACTAAAAATGTATGGGCAACTATGACACTGAGAAAATTCTAACCATAACATACACATTTTTTCTACCATTTTGGAAAAGACTGTTGGGTTTTGGGTAAATGCCATGGTCTAGTTCACAGAACATTAGTGTTTTTAGAAACATGGTTTGATAGATTCTTGAATAAAATAAAACAGCTCTAAATTCAGTCATTAATCAGTTGGGGTTAATGGAGTATCAAAAGCATGGGCTTTGGGATAAGATAGACATGTTTTCAAATTCTAGCCCTACCACATTTCCTAGTGGTGTGACTTTGGACAAATCACTTAACTTCATTGAGATTCAATTTCCTCCTCTCTAAAATGGGGATAATAATTTGCTTTGAGAATTGAAAGATGCTGGGATCAAATGAGAGAGGGTCTTTCAACCTAGGCAAGGGGCCAGTTCTTTTGTATCCTAATGAAAGGGAAAACTTTGGAAGGGAGAAGTATGAATCTGAGGAACTATTGGCTGTTAGAAACCCAAAGACTTTGGTGGACTGGGGTGAAGGGTTGGTGGCAGCTTGGGCTGGAGGGTAGGAAGGTCAGATATGGCTAAGAGAGAATAGGAGGCGGAGAGGTTTTAAAATCTTCTCTTGACACCCCCCCCCCCCCACACACACAATGCCTGGGAAGATCATTGCTTGCCTCAGGGGGAAGAAACTAACAGCAACTGGCTAGCCATCTGTTGTCAACTTAGTAATTTGTGAACAGCACAGAAGTCCTTCTAGAGCTGATGAAATGGGTGCATGCTGCCCCTTTGGGTATTTGCTCTGCTACCATTCCCCCAGCAACCATCAGTGCTGGTGGACTGAAAACATCAAGAGATTGCCTCTTCTTGTGATGCCTCTTTTTAAGAGTTTAAAGTGGAGGGGAGGGGTGGTGTTCTAACTAGAGGACTGGCCTAGTACAGTGACAGCATATGGAAATGGTCAAGGTTGGTTTTATGGGGTCTGACACTCTCTAGCCTGACCCTCATTTTCTTTCCTTGAAATTCACTGGGAGGCACACAAGTCAGACCCTAGTCTTTACATTTTGCTTCCACAGGGCTGTTGGCTCCCCTTGGGGAACATGACCTAAGATAAACTAGACAGACACTATAAAGAAAGACAACAAAATTTAAAACATATACTGTGTGAGGCTTAATAATTAGAACCGGTACTCCAGGAATTTAAAATAAGCACAACAGGGTGCCTGGGTGGCTCAGTCGGTTAAGCGACTGCCTTCGGCTCAGGTCATGATCCTGGAGTCCCGGGATCGAGTCCCACATCGGGCTCCCTGCTCGGCAGGGAGTCTGCTTCTCCCTCTGACCCTCCTCCCTCTCGTGCTCTCTGTCTCTCATTCTCTCTCACAAATAAATAAATAAAATTAAAAAAAAAAATAAGCACAACAAACATGCTCAAAGACACAAAGTATTATTAATATGAAGCAAGAAGAAGGGGTCATTAAAAAAGAATCACATATATATCAGAAATCAAACAAAATATAATAGCTGAATTTAAAAAGATGAGATAAACAAAAAGACTCATGAACTGAGAAACTCTCTCAAAGGGCAGCAGTAAAGGATAAAGAAATTAAAATATAAAAGAAAAGCTAAAAGACATGGATGGTAGAATTCAGGAGACCTATATAAAGAAACAGAGGGAAGGAAGTAGTTGAAGAAATAATGATAGGGGTGCCTGACTGCTCAGGTGGTAGAGCACATGACTCTTGATCTCGTGGTCATGAGTTCAAGCCCTGCGTTTTGTGTGGAGCCTACTTAAAAAGAAAAAAGGAAAGAATGATGATAAATATCCAATTAGAGAAAGATCAAAGACCTCAGATTGAAAGGGCTCATAGATTACCAAGGAGGGTGGCAGGTCCAGGAGTAAGATGAGGCAAGTTGAGACCCATGTGCTGTAAAATTTAAGGGTGCATTTACATAGCCCTGGGAATGAGTGCCTCCTTAAGTTTTGCACCTTGGGTCCCTCATTTGCCTCACTCTCCTCCCTATCCTGAAGGATACATAAGGAAAAACTAACAACCAAGACACTTTATAGAGAAATTTATGGTCATTTAGGGCAAAGAAAATTCTAAATGCTTTCAAAAAGAGAAGGTAGGTTACTTACAAAGGAGGAAAAAGAAGATTTACATAAAAATTCACAGCAACAGCATTGGACACAAGATGATAATTGATTAATATTTTTTAAAATGTTAAAAAGAACTTTAAGCCTTGAATTTTTATACCCAACCAAACTGTCATTCAGCAGTGAAGCAAAAATAAAAAATATTGGGAGGCAAGGAAATCCTCAGAATATTTCCCCATAAAAAAAGCCTACTCCAAAATTCCAAGAGGAAAAATCCAAATAAGGATAGAAATAAATCAAGGAAGGTGTGTGCCTAAGATATATAGAAGAAAATAACAATTTTTTTTATTTCTTTAAAAAGTCAAGGACTAAAGAACAAAAAAATAAGTATTACACACATAACTCAGAACTAAAATTCTACTGTTATTAACATATTAATAGAGATACTGGTGAACTATATATATATGTAAAGTATATATATGAAAGAAGTAGTAAAATGATTTCAAAGGAAAAGAAAAAACTCTCATTATTTGTAGGTAACATGATTACCTGAATAGAAACACCACTGGAATCAACAAAGTATGAGAATAAGAGTGTAGCAAGGTAAACAGTTAAGTGTATAAAAATCAAAGCTATAATCTACTAGAAAACAAAACAAAAAATAAGATACACTCTCTGTGGGAACAACAACTGTACAATATCAAGTTTTTAGAAACTAACAACTAACAAGACCTCTCCTGAGAAAAAATTTAAACTCTCTTGACATAAAGGTAGAACTGAATAGACTTTCCATACTATTAGATAAGATGAAATAGTATGTTACTGTAAAGGTAACAATTTTTCCTAAATTAATCTATAATGCCAACAAACCCAATAAAAATTCTACCTGGATATTTTGAGGGATGTCATAAATTCCAGAGTTTAAATGGAAAAATAAAGGTCCATAAATAGAGAGGTCAACTCTGAAAAGTAAGAGCAAAGAATGGAGACTTTCCCTATCAGATATTAAGCTAAAAATCGAGAAAACTAAAACATGTTAGTACTGATCCAAGAACTAAAAATTAATAATAGAAAGCTCAGAGACAGACCCATTTATATAGGAAACTCTAACATACAAGTAAGGAGATTCCACAAGTCAACAAGGAAAGTATGGATTGTTTAGTATCCAGGAAACTTCTTCACCCCATGGAGAAAAATGAAATAGGTTCCCTATTTAATATTGCACATAAAGGCAGATGCTAGGATTAAGGCTAAATTATGGAAGGTAAAATTATAAAAACAAGGAAGAAAATGTAGGAGAATATTTTTGTGATGTTAAGGTAGAAAAACTCTTCATAAACACCCAATGCACAATCCATAGGTGAAAAGTTCATGCCTCTCTCCTGTACAGAATCCTTGCAAACCAACAGCCCTGCAATTACAGTGAAACAATATTTAAAAATTAAAGGCTTAAGGAAAGAAATATTTTTCATTTGTAATATTAAATCTGGGATATTAATATAAATCATAAGTAACTATAAATAACTCTATATATAAAGGCCCCCTTTGAACATTAAAAATCTTAACATCAAAACATATTACTCTCAAAAGATTAACAATTGGACTTCCTGCAGATTTGATGTAACAATAGGCTCCAGAAGACAATGGAATAATATCTTCCAAGTGTAA